TCTTCTGAGGAAGTCGGCATTTTTCGGTTACATCAGTGTATCGCCTCATATGTATGTATAGACAACCAATTCGGACCATATTGCCGCCGCCTACGCGTGGCTCAACGATGGAAACAGAAGCTCCGAGGATCTATCTCAATCCTGGTGAAGATAACAGGTGAAAGAAGTGATAAGCCACCAACAGGAGAGAACTTGTATAAGTTCTTCGGATTTCCTCCAAGGAATGATCAATTGGTCGGTCCAGCCATTTGTTTTTGTTTTTGCTGTTTTTTCTCATCTTTTCATTGTTTTCACGCAGACCCTCAAACACAACAGCACAGGGTGCATTAAGGCCCTGTGGTTTTTTGCAAACTAAATTTCAGTTTGCTTCGTGGGTCAAGGACACAGAGTATGATTCAAGTGATTCGTTCATTCTAAATCTTACCGCCGATGAATTTCATGTGAAAACGAAGCGCTATTGCAGTATTTGGTAAAGGGGGATCGAAGAATGTGACCATCATGACTCAAGAGTCCAAAACTTACATATCTTCATACATTTGAGGAACATGGCGAGGAGGCTCAATGGGTGCCAAGGTGTACACCTCAGAAAACTAAAATATGAAATGTTAGAATAATGAATAATCCGAGAAACCCTCAAAATTATTATATCATCGTACCGTTAAGGAATTGAATTCTGCAATCCTATCGACAAGAAGTCCAGCATATTCATCTAATCGGGCACACAATTCACAGTTGAGGAAGCGTTCACGGAACATCCTGCAACAGCATCCATACACTGATTTTCACTGCGCACTCATCAAACGAGCAAATAATGCGGGAAACTGGGAAACTGGAACGAAATTTCCCACTGACTAAGTTGTTCAAAATCTCGATGAATTAAGTCATAAAAAACGTTAGAAGAATGATGACTTCTTCAAGCAGATGGTAGAAAAATTATTTTTCATACGGAAAGAGAAAAGGAGCAAATGAAAGACCAAACTCGTTCCAAATACGAGAGCAACAAAAAATATGAGACACAAAAATATAGGAAAACGAGCCGTATGGTGGTGTGTGATACCTGCATGAAATTTCCAGAACTGGATTGCTGTGGTCCGTAAGCGGATTCCGGTTGAGAGGTGTCCACCTGAAGCATACAAACTTTAACGTTTCACTAAGGAAATCAAAGGATGAGCCTAAGAATACCGCTTTGCGAAATCAGGATCGGTTAGCTGATTATCCACCAGCTGTGCCAGTGAGTTTAACTCCATTTCGCGAAATGCTTCAAATATGTCGATTACAATTCTTCGAACAAGGTAGGATCCGTGTGCTCTTAATACGATAGAGTTGCATTTCCACACATGAATACAACATTGTTGAGTTCAAAATGAGGTACCGTGTCCATACGCCGGCAACGCAGCCGACTGGCGACAGCGATCTACTCGATTTAACACCATCTCATCTATTCTAGTGGCCCATTCGGATAACAAATGCCATTCGGCGATCTAAAATGAAAAGTTGAGTGTGATAGTGCTCATCTAAATCTCCAAAGGTAAAAAAAGCGAAAGCTAGCCTTACCTGGAAATCTGTGGTATAAGCCTCGTTACCAAAATAGGCATCAAGCAAAGCAGGCCAGTCCGGAGAGCAGTCAGTCACCACTGTATCTACTGGAGCACTCGAACTTAAAAGAGGAATTCACGATGAGAACGAAGGTCAGAAGGAGAACTTGCAAATTGGGAGACAGGCGGACCTCCTGAGAGAGCTGACCGACGCGCAAATGGCAGCGAAGGTTTGACCTCGGGGATCTAGCATGGCTCACTCTTGGCGCGGTTGACTGATACACCCACCGACCATCTAATCACTCGCTGCAGGTCTATAGTGAACGATGATTACATAGCTAGAGTAGAGCGAATGCCTGAAAAGGGCAACAGCGATTGAGTACCTCATCAAAGCGAAAATCAATGGGCATAGAAGTGGTCCAATTTCTCGGGCTTCGCGCCGTTTTGGAATGGTTTCTTCTTCATTTCTGCTCCACCTTAACCCTTATTTCCAATGAGCTAACTTTTCATCGTAAATTCTGCTTTCAACATGAAATGGTTGAGGGAAAATCCAGGTATGAATTCATGTTAAAAGGACGGAGAGCGAAATAGAGAAAGGAGAAAAACTTCAAGTTGGTTCTCCTATAGAAGAAGTTTCCTATAACAGAAGTATATGTAGTAAATAAGTCCTTACACTGATCGCAACTTGTCGAGGAGAGCAACCTTGTCCCCACTCTGCGAAATGAGAACGCACGCACATCGTGGCATATCATCGTCAGCATCAAATACCATCACAAAAAATAGGTGAAGCTCGAAATCACTTATCATCAAATTCAGCCTACAATAATGCATCACTAATCCTGAATGATTTGTTTATGTTTATATTAATGTAGTTTACACACATACATACTCGACACTGAACTTAAACTAACTCGCGCCGGACTTTTCGCCGACACAACCCCCCCCATCGCGCTCACTTCTTTTGTATGAGACCGAAACTACGATCGTCCGCCTCTAATCCGATCTAAATATCGTTCAACCCCCCGCTCTGCCTATCATGCGATCCAGAACTTGCTAAATAGCGGCTTTGACTTAAGCGAGGAACAAGGCCCACAATGACTAAAGTACAGGAGACGGGAACAAGGACAAAATAGATTGAAACCAAAACCGATGCACGACTAACGCTCTCTCAATGCACCGCGACCGGGGCCGCCCGGCGTGGAACACGTTGCCCATAACTCACGCATTTGCGATGTCATTATACCTGGAATAGACAACAACTAGTACCAAAATATTATGAAAAATGATGATCACTTGCCGAAAGATATCCCTTCGGAAAGCGGCCTTCCTTCGTTGTCGAACAGATTGACAGCGAATGTAGACTCTGGCTCAAAGAATGCCGAGGTCTAAACATCAAACTGCTCCATTTTGCAAATCAAATGAAAGTAAATGTTATCTTCATCCTTGGAAAGTAATTGCAAAAATTTATATTAACTACTGAGGACATTGGACTTTTCTCTTCCCAGTTCATTCAATGAAGAAAATGAGTAGAAGAGAAAATATCACAGGGAATGGAGTCAATGTTCATCACCTCAAAAAGCACTTTGAGAGAAATGAACTCATTCTCATTCATCACATATCGTGTCATATCTTCAATACTCCGTTCAGCAACATCAAATCCGTCCATAGTGAAGCCTTCCACCTCTGAACACGAGTTAAACTGCAAATTGTTCAAAAAAATTTAGATACGTGCGGAATTGCAAACAAAAATAAAGACATGTGAAAGTTTCAAAAAATACCCCTTATCGGTCCGGCCCACATTAGCATCCAGTGGGACTTTATCGTCCACAACATAGAGGTATTCGTCCAGAACAACTCGTTCATTGGAACTCAATCTCAACAGTGCCGTACCCATGCGATGACCAGTGTGTTCTACACATCCTATGACTGTTAAGCGACCATCAATCCAATGAATTATCTGCAATTTCGGAAACCATGGAAAAGAAGACCATCACCTGAATCTAAGAAACCCACTCGAAGGAAGGCTGCGCAATTACGACCGCATTTCGTGGGACGTCGCGTGAGACGACGTTTTGTGAATTCGGGAAAATAATCCCGACCAGGTATATGCTTCGGACGAGCTCCACCGCTACGAGCACAATATAGGTAAAGAACCTTAATAAAGGACTGAATTTAAACAAAAACCGGATTGAAAAAAGACACGAGAGGTCTAGTAGCACAACAACGGCTAGAAAACGCTCGAAATCTCACCTGATATTCATTGCCCTGCTTGATTCCCATTCGTTTAACATAAGTGACGGAGAACACGTCTTGAACAGAGTTGAACCACTCCTCAAGAATTGTGTTTTACATATGCATATTGAATTGCAGTGTGGGCAGAAGCTATGGTAGCAAATAGGGCCGCTCACCATGCTCGCGGCTCGGGGAAAAAAATCTCAAACTAATCTCGTGAAGGCCAAGAATGCCCTCCATCACTGACAATGAGGGATCTCTTCATTGATCCCAGACTCTTCGAGAAAACAGAAACACTAACTTGTACATAAGCTGTCCCCTCACCCCCAGTCATTGTATAGGTCCAAAATTCAAGTGCCACTACGATTCTGAATGGAAGTAGAATTCGGTGCGCATCCTTCGTCTTGATTTATGAAGAAAACAGATGAAAAGGAAGAGGGGAAAATAGAACCAACACCATCAGGCAGTGAGTGCTTCTTTACAATTGGCCACGTACCTACCCAGCAACACAGAAAAATAGAATATAAAGAAAAATAAAAACACTTACTTCGTACTCGCTGATGTCATTAAAATCACGATGAACTAGACCGCCAACACGATGTGCAGTAATCATGTGATCAACAAAGGCCTTGTGTGAACCAAAACTAGCTGAGCAATCACAACACGCTACCTAAGAATGAACTTTTATTCTTTTATAAGTTCAACAACTGGATATCTAAAAAGAGCGATTTGAATTCCCAAATTCTGTACCTGTCTTGTGGAATAGCCAGGATTGCTGAATCCGCCGTGAACTTTCCTCATATGACTCGCTCGGGTTGATCGCGATATGCCGCGCCATGGACATTGAGGCACATGGCAAACGTATTTCCCATCCGGAACATAACCACCCTGAACATTCCAATTTGTTCTAGTAAAGGGGTTTCTATATTAATCTTGTTCAATGTAGATCTAAAAAAATTAACCACAACGACTGACATAAATACACTGGCCGTCCATTATGGCTCAAGCCCTCCCTAGGAAGCTAAAGTTCGGTTCCGTTTGGCAGTGCTTAAAACTGATAAACTTAGAAATACCTTATCTGATAGATAGGCAAGAGATCAAGGTTTGATTACGTCTAGTACTGGGATAATACAACACCTACAAGCACGTATCAGAAATCGACTTACTATGGGAGCTTTCTTCTTTGGAGGTACGTAGTCTGGGTGAGCACTTTTGATATGTTGAGAGCGAGATGCTCTGTAAACTAACTTGTTTGCATGAAAATATCAAATGACCCTATATTAAAAAGCGTGACAAACCTGTAAAATTACCTCGCCACTTCAACAGCCTCTCGAACTACAGAAAATGGAGGCACCACAAGTTTTTCGGATCAATGTATCTCTCCATCTTTGTTATCTCGGCTGTAAAACATCTATTTTACTCTGTCGACACCAGCGAAATTAGTTCCTATCCAACCTGTAGTATATAGCGTGGAGGCATCACCCAATCCTTATGGCACCACTTCATATGGTCACATCGTAGTGATCGATACGCTCCTCTCCAATCACAGTCCGGCATATAACATCGATATTTCCCGTTCGGGTCACTACATACACGCACTTTTGAGTTTTCAGCAGGTTCCTGAGGAGAAATTAGGTAATACTTACTGTGAACGAAAAGGGGTGACGAGAAAATCTAGAAATCTCACTGTGCCCGGTGGATTTCTAGGCCGGCCTCTTTTCCTAGTCATGTGGGGAGCCGGACGGAAGTCGTTGTCATACTTCATCTCAGTGTAGGCCTGAAAGATGAAATGAGGACAGCGAGAGAATCATCAAAGAACAAATCGTGACCGCTATAAGATTAGTTAGGGTGTAAAAGACGAGCGGGAGCAAGAATATGACAAAATTCAACAATGTGAATGGTTCCGTTCAGGTCTGACTTACATGCACAACTATTTTAATAATCAGCGAGTGCGATTTGAGGTCCACGAAAAAAGTTACAAGAAAGACCTCTGAAAAGCAAAACCAACCTCATCACGTTTGTACTGCGTCAGTTCGTAGTCTTCATCTTCCACATCGAGATCACAATCCGCGTCCGTTTCCGAATACGCATCGCTGGATGCGACTTGATAACTGTGCATAGCATCCAGCTGTGATCGGGAATCTCGGGGAACATCAGCAGACATTTCGTCTGTACCATCAAACTGAAAAATGTCTTGAAAACCATTATATTTTTGACCAAATAAACATCCCACCTCATTTTCCTACTTTTACTGATGCTCGCGGTCTAGATGCTTTAGCACCGGATGGGCCCTTTTGCACTCCATAAGCACTGGTAGCCTAAAAATAAAGCCTAAATTGATATTCCCATGTCCAAAGTAACACAAAGAACGTGCGACAGGACCACTGTCCAACACGTAATGATAAAGAATTTCCGAACCTCTTGATTAGCTGATGACGAGCTGACATCAGGTGCTCCTTGTGTAGCATTCTGATATGAGTATCCAGCATGGTCTACTCTTAGATGATAGTTCCTTGCCGAACGACTCTCACTATTATAATCACAAGAGGGGACCGGGCATGGGTAGTAGTGCGCACCATCATTGCTGAAAAATTGCTAGTTAGAGAACACGAAACAAGGTGGGCGCGTACGCAAGCACAGAGAGGACGGCCGCGACTTAACATTGCCATGCCTTCTCCGATCAAAGAACAACCAATTGAAAAAGAATATGACATTGTCATCACAAGACGACAACCATATAAAATTTTCTTCCAGCAGCCAATTTCACTTGAAATCCAAGAGGTGGTCAAATGAGTGTCTGATGCGACTTTCTCTGTTTCTTTTCTCAAAATGCAACTCTTTTATCATTAGACTTCGTCAGATCTAGGACGAGAATGTGAGGCATTCCTAAGCAAACACAGACCGATCCTTCGGAAAGAAGTACTTTAGACCAATTACTCAATGGGCAGACTTGCCTCTCGTGTATCGTTGTAGGCCTTTTGATAGTCTGATTCGGCAACGAGATTTGAGATTCTGAATCTGAAGTCGCAACATATAGAAACCAGATTGAAACTGTTATGATTGCAAAGAAAACGTAAGCGTGATAAAACCTCGAATATGGTTGCTGTGACTCGAACTACAGGGTCCTAACTGACCGGTGTTGATTAATGTATGAATGCCCTTGGAACTTTACAAACAGCGCAGAGCTTCCTAGCGTGGTTCAGCTATTTGCCCTCCCAACACTGAGCAATGCCTGAGAGGTCAGATGGCTTTAATCGTAAACCATCCCCACGGTTTGTAAAAGTGCAGTTTGAAAGCAGCCATTTATTTGATTTTTGGTGCTTCCACGGGCACCAAACGGAATGAGAGAAGGTCCGCACCATGGTTTTCGTTTCTAATCGTTAGCGATAAGCGCTAGCCTGGGAGGCTGCGTTCATATTCTACGACTTTGGATATTAGGAAACAAGGGAATAACGATATTGAGAGATTGTGCTCAAAGGATTAGATAGATACGTATTGATCGAATAGCGGACGCTCAGTCTTCTAATCTTCTATTCTCCTGATCTATGCGTATTTCATTTTTTTCCAGCCAAATCTCCTGTTCTCCCGTTCTCCTGAACTCCGGGTGTGGTTTTCTAGGACAGAAAGCGACCAACGCGTTTCGCATGCAAAACATTTTCGCTGCAGGAACTCAGGTCCACTCATGATCAGCGGTGGACCTGAGGTTCCCGCAGCGAAAAATGTTTCGCGCTGCAAAACGCGAAAAAGTCGCTTTCTGTCCTAGTGAACCACACCCCTGAACTCTTATCGCCTGATCTCCTTGCCTCGCAAATCGGAAAGTATGGTGCATTTAACCAAAATGACATAAGGCGATCACTCCAATTACGCTCAACAGAAGTCACGACGAAAGGGATGGCAAACTCTACACGGAAGAAGTATTTGATGAACAGAAGCCGCTCACCGAATACTAGGCGTCAATCAATTTGCACATTTCCCGCAACAAACTCGCTGGGTAATCACTAATCATGGACACTGCGATTTTGATAGATCGCATGTGAAAGTCTATCC